TCTCTTTCTTTCTCTTTCTTTCTCTTATTATGTCATTCTTTCGCTTTCTTTCTCTTTCTTTCTCTTTCGTTCTCTTTCTTTCTCTTTCTTTCTCTTTCTTTCTCTTTCTTTTTCTTTCGTTCTCTTTCTTTCTCTTTCTTTTTCTTTCTTTCTCTTCTTTCTCTTTCTTTCTCTTTCTTTCTCTTTCTTTCTCTTTCTTTCTCTTTCTTTCTCTTTCTTTTTCTTTCTTTTTCTTTCTTTCTCCTTTTTTTCTCTATTTCTCTTTCTCTTTATTCTTTTTCTTTCGTTTTCTTTCTCTTTCTTTCTCTTTCTCTTTCTTTCTCTTTCTTTCTTGTTCTTTCTCTTTCTTTCTCGTTCTTTCTCTTTCTTTCTCTTTCTTTTTCTTTCTTTCTCTGTCTTTCTCTTTCTTTCTCTTTCTTTCTCTTTCTTTCTCTTTCTTTCTCTTATTATGTCATTCTTTCGCTTTCTTTCTCTTTCTTTCTCTTTCTTTCTCTTTTGTTTTCTTTCGTTCTCTCTCTTTCTCTTTCCTTTTCGTTCTTTCTCTTCTTTCTCTTTCTTTCTCTTTCTTTCTCTTTCTTTCTCTTTCTTTCTCTTTCTTTTTCCTTTCTTTCTCTTTTTTTCTCTATTTCTCTTTCTTTTCATTCTTTTTCTTTCGTTTTCTTTCTCTTTCTTTCTCTTTCTCTTTCTTTCTCTTTCTTTCTCTTTCTTTCTTGTTCTTTCTCTTTCTTTCTCGTTCTTTCTCTTTCTTTCTCTTTCTTTTTCTTTCTTTCTCTGTATTTTTCTTCTTTCTCTTTCTTTCTTCTTTCTGTTTCTTTCTTCTTCTCTTTCTTTCTCTTATGTTTTCTTTCTTTCTTTCTCTCTTTTTTCTTTCTTTCTCCTTCTTTTTCTTTCTTTCTCTTTCTTTCTCTTTCTTTCTCTTTCTTTTTCTTTCTTTTTCATTCTTTCTCTTTCTTTCTCTTCTGTCTCTTTCTTTGTCTTTGTTTCTTTTTCTCTCTTTCTCTCTCTCTCTCTTTCTTTCGCTCTCTCTCTCTCTCTCTTCCTCTCTCTGTCTCAGTCTTCGTCTTTGTCTTTCTCTCTTTCTCGGTCTCTGTGTATATATGCATATATGTATATATGTATATATGTATATATGTATATATGCATATATGTATATATGTATATATGTATATATATATATGTATATATGTATATACGTATATATGTATATATGATTATATGTATATATGTATATATGTATACATCCAATATTGTGTTTGTACTATTCCTATGAGTGCCACCTTGTCAATTCGGTATAAATCCGTCATGTCTTTTGACAGGTCGCGAGATGAAGTCCGACTCAGCATGAGCCGCTGGGAGGAGTTGTGGATGCAAAGAAGATACGTGACCATTTGATGATCTTGGGAGGGCGCGTTGCTGATGGGTACGTTGTGGCAGTTACGCAAGTCAACGACCCGTCAAGAATTTTTTGCAACTGCCATAGATGGCAGTTGCGTTTTCTACTTTCGCCGGCCCAGCTAACCTGCACGGCCTTCACAAAGGCCTCTACAAGGCTCGCAAGGCCCATAGCTTTCCTTTGACAGTAATGCATTTCTTTTGAGTCCTACCTGGGCCAGCTGCTTCTACCATTGCCTTTTCCACACGGAAGCCTCGCTTGCTGCCTTCGTCTTCAGGACCGATGCTCGATGTAGTAAGCATGGAGATCGGCACATTCGAAAGATACAGTGAGCATGACCAGTCGGGTCCGATAAGATGATCAGGTTCTCAGTGATCACTGTCAGGCTCCTTAGACAGCTCGCAAAAAACCAGCAAGTTGTTCATATCCTTGGCCGAGCAACTGGCCGCTAAGGGTGTCTGGTCGATGTGTGAAAAACCCCTCGGATTTCTCAGCCACCTGCTCGTCTCAGCACCCGAGAGCACGAGCCGTGACGACTTCGTGGTAGATCTGGGACCAGACTGGCAAGCTCATGGGTCAGCTAATGCTGCAATGGAAGGATGCGATGTCGGCTGGCAACCAACAGCTTGTAGCTATTCACGAGCTCACGAGCTCATGCTTCCTGTATATATGTACTGGCGAAAGAAGCCAGAGGGTGCATATGTGTCCAATCATGTTCTTTCTGCAGATACTTCTGTAAATTCTTCTCCGAATTTCCATTGCTGGGGTTAGCACTCGCAGAGCTGCTGCCCTGTTACACAGCCGGCTCTGCTCAACCCACGCACAGAACTGCTGAGCTACTGAGCTACCCTGAACTCGAAGCTTCGGACAGAAACCTTCAAGTCCGTGAGGTGTGCAGCCGCTGTTTTTCGCATCTAAACCAAAAACCCAAAAAAACTGGACGTCAAGGAAGAAGGAAGGACAGAGGGACCAGCAGTCCCCGTTGATTTAATTGGGTTCAGTTGTTCTTGGTTCAGTTTAGTTGGAGTAGTTGGAGGCAATTGGGGAATGAAGGGTTGCGGGATGCGAGGGCCCCGGTCCTGTGCACGTCGAATGACGGTGACCAGTCGCAGACATCTCTTGCGGGATGTTGCGGTATTGCAGGTCGGAACATTTTTTCACGCAACGGTCGAAACTGATATATTTGTTGCGTGCAGATGCTTCAGCCGTGGCTGGTAGGATCACTGCAGAACCATGTTTCGTACTACTGGATTATGAAGAAGTGTTTTGGATGTGTTTCGAGACCGAACGAGCAGAACCATATCCGGCAGCGGCTGAGGTTCGTGAGACATAGCGGTTTCAAGATTTCATCGCTGGCATTGAGGCTGCTTTCCCAAGAGGCTTCACCCGTGTTTTATCAGCAAGCTCCATATCACTTCACCTCGAGTGTGGCCCCAAGCCTGTGGTGCAAGATTCCAGATGCAAGCCAAATGTGGCGAGTCTCATAGGCCCTGGCCGTGATAGGGCTCCAGCGGGCACGGTAGGTGATAGGGCTTAAAGGGCCACTGGCACTGAAACCAGGCGATGCACATGCAGCCAATTTGACATGCCTGGGGGAGGAGCAGCTGCGTTGCGAAGACAAGATGGATGCACACCCCATCCCGACTTGGGTTGCTTTCCCGGAAGATATCCATCCCTTTCAGGTTCCTTTGCAGGTGAAGTCGGCCAGCATTCCTCGCTCCATGACAAATCGCGTGGTCCAAGCTTCTGTCTGGGTGCGGTTCTGACTTGATAAATGCACACTGCTGTCGAAAGTTGACCCCACCAGCATGAGAATTCTTCCAGGCTTTGGTTGGAAGCAGATTATTACACATCGTAGTCGCAGGGCATGGTCCGTCCGTCTAAGAACGAGGCCAAACAGATGCTGCAAATGAATGGCGAGCCCCGCACTTACATACACATCCCTTTTTCCAAGCGCAAGCCGAGGTTTTGATTCTCCTTACATGGAAGACTTGATGCCACCTAAGGCGGTGACACTATTTGCGGTGACACTTGTGCAATGCAGTGGGGCGATGAATGGAGCAACAAGGACAAGGGCGTGGCGTGAGTGCCAGCGCCACCTTTCATGCAACAGGCCGAACAGCACGTGCCACAATGTGAACACTCTTGCTCATTCTGCCAGCTTCCGTCTCTGTGTGTGTGTGTGCGCGCGTGCGAGCGTGCGTGCATGAGTGTGTGCGTGCCCGCCAGTGGCGTCGGCCACGTGCAGAATCGCCAGAGCCAGCTCGTTCGTGTCAGCTGATTACGAACATCCAAAGTGCTCCGGAGAATTCAATCCTTGGCTAAGCAGCTGTTGCAAAATTCATGGCACGAAGGCTCTGTGAGATCCTACGGTAGTGATGGTTGAATGATACGCCGCTGCTCAGGCAACTTGTAAAGTTCCAATAGGTCCTGTGCGGGGTATTCCATAGACGTGGAAATCTGTCCTCGCGAGTCGACAGAGTCGAACAGGAATGTTGACCGATGTGACAAGAATGTGGTTTCAATGTCCGGAAATGGAGAGTTTTGATTGACAAGGGTTTACAGTTCCAGGTGCTTGGCCTCCTTCTCCACTCACCCGCAGTAGGACCTAGGAGTTCGCTGATTCATGTTCGAGAGAAGCTTATGGGCTGCAGCTTTTGACTTCAGCAGCAGCCGTCTGCCATACTAGTTGAGTGTCGAGGCCATGTGCAAGCGTTGACGGACCTCTTGGCTACTTGTCTATGGCTGCCTACGTGTTTAGAGTGCACTGCAGGGGTTTGGACAGGCTTCAGATATGCGTCTCGCCGCAGCAATGCGCAGGGGAAGGGCAGGCCAAATAATGCGCTTTGGTCTTTCTGTGCGGCATGTTGAAGCATGTTGGAGCTACATTTGCTGGCTGAGTCACTGTTACGCGAGGCGCCCGTGGAGCCACTCCGGTGGTTCTGGCTTTGGCTGCAGGGACCCTCCTCTCCAGGTCCCAAGATGCTCTCTTAGTGAACTCGATATCCGCATGTAGGACCAATGTAGGACTCTCCATGTAGGACGTGCTAACGAAAAGCTCAAGCCAAGCATGTGGCCAAAGCCTGTGGGAGTGGGGCGCGCTCCCGTTCCAAGTCGCAGGAGTTTCATTGGCTGCCAGCCGTCAGACCGGGGCTCGCGTGTGTCTCGTGCCTTCTTCGGTGGCCCGACGCTTACGATGAGGAGAGCACTGGTGTGCAGATGGTACACCGGGCTTGTCTTGCAAGTCAGTGGCCCATCAGTGGTGCAGTGATTATTATGCGCGAGGCCTCTTTGGAAGTCCCCAGGGCTCACCAACACCCATCAAGGACGCTCCGCAGGAGATCGCAACGGCCACGAGAAAATCTCACTCTTCTCTCCAAGGCTTTTATCGGTGGGGTGCCTCTGCCCTGTCAGGAGAATGCCAGGCATTATCTGACCGGAAACGCCATGTATCCTCCCTGGCCAGCTGGGATGCAGGAGGCCATGTTCGGCATGGGCTGCTTCTGGTGTGCGGCCCCCAAGTTGCTGCGCAGTTGCTGCAGTTGCACCCTGCACTTGAGTCACTTGCGCTTCTTTCAAGCAGCTCTCTCAAGTCAGGTTCCGAGAACATCTTCATGAGGATGCCGGGCGTGTACTCTACACAGGTGGGCTATGCTGGTGGCAGCATCGAAAACCCCACCTACGGCGATGTCTGTACGGGAGCGACGAACCACAATGAAGTGGTTCGCGCCCCCGCCTCAGTCCGCCTCAGCTCGCCTCAGACCGACTCGGTGAGAGTTGCACAGAGTGCTCTCTCTAAGTCACTTGGGGATGTGTGAGGTCGTGTATGATCCTCAGAAAGTTTCATACGCCGAGCTCTTGCAGAAGTTTTGGGAGAAGCATGCGGCAACCCCAGTGTCAAAGTGTGATCTTGTAACCGTGAAGTGTGCAGACCGTGTAGTGAGTTGAAATTGGGCGGGTGCTTCGCGTCATAACACCGAGCGCAGAGGACCCAACAACGCTGAACCAGCAGGGGAACGATTTCGGCACACAGTACCGATCAGGCACAGATGATCTTTGCGGCCGCAGAGATAGAACCTTGCTGCATGCATCAATGTATCACCGAGGTATCTACTATTATTCCGAGGAGCAGAAACTGCTGGCCGAGGAAAGACCTTTGTGCTGCGAGACGAAGTGTACAAGCGTGCAAAAAACAAAAAACACGCCGCCACACAACCCTTCCTGTGCGAGGAAACCAGGGCCCGCTACGAGCAGGCCATTCGAAAGGAGGGCGCCGCTTGGGGCCGCCGCTTGGGGCTGCCAAAAGTCAGGCTTTTTTACTCGTAGGCACTTTTGAGTTCAGTAGAGACTTTGTTGGAGAAGAGGGTTTTGGGGTACAGGGTCCAGGGTTCGTGGCCGCGAAGTCACAAATTCTGCAAGTAAGTACGACGTTTTGATGACTTGCAACTGGTTGTGTGCTGCCTCACGAGCCTTCCATAACAGTGAGGAGCACTCTCTGGCGCTCTCCCTGCCAGGATCCATCGCCACAGAAATTGTGCCCGCACCGACTTTCTACTATGCTGAGGAGCTCGTGTAGCTGGTAGGATGCAAGCGGTTGGCTATTTTGCTGAACTGCTTGTGGAACAGTGTCGTGTCGAAAGTCCGTCTGCAGTCCTACCACCAGCAGTATGACGCGAAGCCCGGCAATCGAGATTACTGCGGCCTGCGACCGTTGGGTGTCCAACTCGACATCAGCGACGTGGAGAAGATGGAGAAGAAGGTCGACGCGTGAGGCGTGGCATCGTGGCATATGACGCAAAGGGAGAGCGTCCGATAGCTCTCCGTTTGCTGCAGGTGTGTTTTTGGCAGCGATGAGTCTGCTTTCACGCTGTTGCCGGTAATTTCAGTAGCTTTGACTAGGGCCACACGAGCCATGATTTTCCAAGCTGCGCAGAGTTTCTCTGCGTGTGCTGATGCACATGCCCAAGTGTACAAAATCAGTGCCTGGCTGAGCCTTCGGCGAACGGTGTTTGTTCAACGTAGGTTCGGAGGAATCGGGCTTTGCGCCGTGCGATGGCTTTGACATCGGCCATAAACTCAAGAATGCACAGCCACAGAGAGCAAGAAACAAGCACCTTCATGTGTGTTGTGATGTGTGTCTCGCGCCAACACCGCATTTCTTGAGAGGAGTGCTACGACAGTACCGCAGCCCGTTGCTATTTATCGACAGTCGTTGTGCGTCGACTTCATTCGAAGTTTACGCTGCAGCACGACAGTAAGCTTTATGAAGCAACAGATTGGTCAGAATCAAAGTGCAGGCCGTTACGGTCCTCCAATAGGTTCATTCTCAGGGCAATGTCAGCTGTTTATGGAGGCCTCGCTTTGCCGAGTCTGGTTGAAGCACGTGCACATCCATGAGCTCTTTTGTGTCATTGGTCTCCTAGCATTGGGTCCACGCAAAAGCAGATACTCAGCAATGGCTCTCGCTGCTTTGAGTTCTGCCATTGCAGCCTCTTCCTCTGAGCTGGGCTTGTGAACCTACCAGCAGCATCATGTTTTTTTACGCCTGATGAGTAAGGACCAACTGCTGCACGCGCCCAGACGCAGTGAGACGATGCTTGGCTGTAGTAAGAGGCGCATCGTGCTGGATCGGTCGCCCAGGGCTTTGTCGCCTTCATGTTGTCGTGATTGAAAAGTGGTCGGGGGGCATGCTGCAGCTGCGACACGGGAGACGCAAGACTCTAAGCAGCACTGCGCCCTGGCGCCAGGCTGTCACATTTTAGTCTCACTATGCACGATTGCACAATTTGCTCAAGTCGTTGTTCTGTCACGAGCTAATTGGCACGTTGCTGAATTGCAATTTCGGGTGAACAGGTTCTGTTGGCTGTTGCATGCTTGATCGCCACCCTGCACGGGCAAGGGCTTGTTTTGTGACAAAGCTTCGGCACAGGGGTTTCGTCTTCGACTTCTGGGTAGGGTTCTCTGATCCATGGTTTTCTGGGACACATGCAGCAAGCACTGTCGCTCACAATTGCATGGATTGCGTCGAGGCTCTTCTTTGCGCTGCAAGCCTAAGGACAATAGATGCAAGCTTGCTGCTGGATGTCCAGCCCCGTCTGGCCTTCGCCTTCTTCCAGGAGTGCGATGGGGTGTGCCGAAGTATTGATGTTGCGGTACGTTGCGGTACGTTGCGGTGGTGATGTCGTGCGACTTTTGGCGACCAGCCTCAGCTGCAACCTAGACATACCAGACCAAGTGTATGGAGGCCATTGTAGCTGCAGGATTCTAGCTAGAAGTTGTGCAACGGTGCAAGCATGTTCTTTCGCAACTTTTTAGATGTCAGAGAGCCATGGCCTCCTGGCTGACGGGCCGTGTGGCTTCCTTAGTGAAAGAGCCACGCCAGGTGCCAGGGGTCAGCAAAGCATATTGTGCACAGTTTGTTTTGCTGAGTTCGGAATCCTCACAGAGTCACACCATGAGAGGCTCTGCCCTCCGCAGACGAAGCGCAGCAGACGCTGGAGCAAAGGGCCCGGGCACTGGCATCACCCCACTCGGAAGCTCGTCAATGTCAAGGAGAAAGGGTCAGCGCTTCCTTGCTTTGGGGACTGTGCTGGGAGCAGAGTCCATGCGCAAATGCAGAGAGATGGAAAGCTGGACGGAAATTTTAGAAATCAGATGAAATCAGGGTTCGGAGAGGCTGGAGGCTCCAATGGAATCACAAGGCCCAATGGGGCCAAGCTGTAAACTTCCTCACTTCTGTACTCAGCTTCGAGGCTGCCTGGCTGTTGTCGCACTGGCTGGAGCAGTGCAGCAGTTCTGAGGCATTCGTTGGTGGATTGATGAATTCGGAGGTTTGTAGGGGCATTCGTACCCCAACCAAATCGCACCGCATCGGTACGAAAATTGCACCTCTGTAGGTTTACGTGCTGCACCTGCCGGGTGGTAGCGGAAGCGGCATCTCGGCAGCGACGCACTTGCCGTTTTGTGAAGGGTGTACAAGCTGAGCAGAAATGACCTGGCACGTTTAAAAGGATGATCCCGTGTCCCTGTATCAGCACTTGGAAGTTCTGATGAAACACTCATACAACCATGGAGATGAGAAGATCACCCTCGCACGAATGATTCATCGGCAACTCAACAATCGAATTCAAACAACAACGGTGCGCTGTGATAACATGTTTTGCCAAATGTGGTGGTATTGGCAGAGGCCGGATTCGGACATAGTTCATGCAAAAGCCATGTGGCAGAATAGTCTTACGGCTGCTTCTAGGAGTGTGTGACAAGACAAAGCGTCGTGTTTCTTGCATGTGCTGATTGCGTTGTTGTGGGTTTGAAACCATGGTCTGAACTTCTTTTGCATGACGAAGATTGGATTAGTCTTAAAGCGTGACGCGAATGTGCATTGTGCAGTTGTTCAGGTCCGGCGAAGGCTTGGCATCTCTCCTTCCAGCAGGTTCTCTTGCGAAGCTGCGCTTTTGAACCTGGCATCGAAAGGGCTGCGCTTTCTGATACTTTCCGCTACTTCAGGGTTAAGAGCTTTATTTATAGGGTACACGGATACCTACGGTCTGTGCTCAGTCCGAGGAACTGGCGCTGGAGGTGTGCGCCAAGGTCCCGTCGGTGCGTGAGGTCCTGACGCCAGGCTTCGAGTGCCGGGGAGAATGTGTTTAGTCCAAAAAGTGAGTATGGTGGTAAGATGGAAGGCCCTTGGACGGCCACTGCCCATTACAACACGGGGCCCCTGAAATGGGACCCGAATTGAGAGAAGCCACCACATTCCCATGTGTGTTTCATGGTTGTTAAGTAGAAAAGTCATTAACCATGACGAGTCAGTTTCAGGCCCTGCTGCCGCGTCGACGGTGCTCGAGCAGAGCAAGTCGTTACGCCAGGCAGAGGGGAGTTAGGAGACATGTTTGGGGGACATGTTTGGGGACATGTTTGGGGGACAGAGAAGTTCACAGCTTTTTCTCGTAGGGTCTTCAGGCACTGCACGGCATGGCAGAGCGCCTGCTGATGCCGGGAGCGCTGGAGGTCTGGCCATCGCTGCCGCTCGGGGGCTTTATACTTGCTTCAAGACTGCTTCGTGTGTCGTCTTCTTGCTGTATAGTATAGTAACCGTTGGTAAAGTGTGTTGTATATGTGGTATACGGTGTGGTGCTACTCCTCCCACTAGCACAGCCACTACCACTACCGCTACCGCTACCGCTACCACTACCACTACCACTACCACCATATTGTGGTGTTGAATGTCTGTTGTGCGTAGTCTTGCAGGTCTCACGTAAGCTTGCAAGGTTCGATGCCCTGCTTTCCCGTGATTCCGCCGGTGCTCTGCCCTGGGATGCCTGGGCCCGCCGGCTGGTGGCGTCCCTGAAGAAGCCCTGGTGCCCCCCTTTTTGCTTTCCCTTTGTGCCTTGTGCCTTGGAGCATCTGCTGCAGCAAGATTGCAGTCAGCAGTTGCAGTTGCGCACGGAGCTATGTCGAGAGAGTTGCAAGTTGGGGGTGTCAAGAATGCGAAACTTGCAAATGTTGTGATCACGAAGAGAGATGAAGAGAGTGTGGTGTGTTCGTGGCGTTCGTGGCGTTCCTGGCGTTCGCGCATCCGTGGAGGCGCATGGAGTCGCTCTGGCCACAGCTTCGCCGGTGGGACACGGTCGCAGCCGAGGAGAACACTCCACTCATCTACCTTTCTCTGTGAGCACCAACTTTTTGAGCAGGAGGCAAAGGTAACAACCGCACACAGGCCAAAAGCATGGCAAGAGATGCAAGAGGCAGACGGATTGCGAGCCTCCGAAGGATTCTGGAGCCTCCGGCGCTGCAGGCTCCGCAGCCCTGAAAACCACAGGCACCACACAGATGCTGTGAAGCTATGCTGTGAAGCTCTGTCGTATCCGATCATCTGATGTCTGAATCTTGAATAGTTGAGGCGTGCAGGCACTCTCGAAGCAGGGCATACGAGCAGAGCTGATAAGGAGGCGTGCCATGTGGGCCGGATCTCAAAGTTGAAGAGTGGGGTGTGTGATGGTGTGTGTGAGCGGTTTTGAAAGCAGGCGTTTCCCCCAGCTTGCTCTCGAGGCTGCGATTCAGTGCAGATTTGCTCTTCTACGCGTGTTCTACTCAGCCTTCCTCTGCTCCGCTGGGACAGGCCGCGCGCCTGCGGTCCCGCAGCGAAGCCTTGTGTGACGGGCTGGAAGCTCTGAGGCCCTGGCCTTGGTTATCTGCATAGACTCCAACATCATATGCAAGTACTTGGGTACTACTTGTATAACTTGTATACTACTTGAGTACTTCGCCGCAGTTTGCCTGCAGTATCCTGCAGTCGGGTCATGTGTTCAAAAGCTTTCTGGCACGTCATTATCATTTTGCCGCCCGCGTCCTTCTGGACACGCTTTTGTGCGAGCTGCTCTTGCAGGACGGTGGATGGGAGCGCACGCAGCTGCAAGGTGCCCTGAGATGCTTCGTCAAGATTCGCCATGCGAGCTACTGTATGGCCTCAAGTGCCTGAACCAAACCACAGAAACCGCAGGGATCAGAGATCAGAGAGGAACTTGGGAAAGGAGATCGAGCAGCTGATCGAAGACGCGAGCCTGGCCCTGGACTCCCTGGACAGCATCCTGGCAGCAAGAAGAAAAGGCGTAGCTGTAGATGACGATAAGAGGGCTTGAGACGGGGTGATGCAAGCACTGAGCCCGCGGGCGTGCGCGAGATAGAGAGACGGTGCCAGGAGAGTGACTCCCCCCCCCCCGCTCCCCACTTTTTAGTATTGTTTGTTTTCGGGAGGACGTCAAAGTCGAGCCTGCGCTCATCTCAGGTGGAGTCCAGGGCTCGCGAGACGAAGCGCGCCAACTTGGCCAGGCCTTTTCTTTTCCTCCTTCCGCTTGTCCTCCCCACCTTTTCCGGCTCTTCTGGGCTTCAAGTCAAGTCTCTGGGCAGGCTTTGTCAGATGCTGGCAGTGCAGTCCAGCGTCAGATGGCAACAGTCATGCTGACCCAGGCTCACAATAGGGTGCCGAAGGGATTCTCGTTTAGGGAGATGGGAGCATGTGGCCAAGTTGTGTGAGGAGACCTTCGTGGCTCGCCGAGGTCAGCTACAAAACGAGAAGGCCGGGGCTGAGCAGCAAGTGTCTGCTGTGGCCTTTGAGTGAGTTGAGTTAAGGGAAGCAAGCGAGTGTCCTCGCGCGAGCCCTGCACGACTCTAAGAACCTCTGAGAGCGTGTGAAGCCGAAAGGCTGAAAGAGGCGGAAAAAGGCGGAAAGAAGCTGAAGAAGGCCGACAAAGGCTGAAAACGGCTGAAGGTGGAACGCCTTCGGAGAATCCACATGTCGTGGGACTCCATGCGCAATCTCGAGCTCAGTAATTTTTTGTCACGGACCAGTGACTGCAAAAGCAATATCTGCGCAACTCTAGTCCAGTTTGCTGAACATGCTGTTATTCTTGGGCCGCCGCGTGAAGCCCTATTGGCAAGAGACTGGCGACTAAGTGATCTGACAACTTCAACCCGAAATTCCGAAGACAAGCGAATGCATCAGCAGTGCCGAACCCGAAGCACTAAGCCACAAAGATCCACCAAGCCGCTACACGTCACAGTAGCCTTGTGACTCGTGCAGGGGGCCATCGCATGGCAAAACCAACACCTCTCTGCCACGAATGACTCTTGCTATTATGTTGCTAGTCCTTGGCCAAGCACTCACAGACGGCAAGGCGACAGCCGAGTGGGCATTTACAATCGCTCTGTGTAGATTTGTTCTTCAAGGCACCAGCATAGCACACAAACAGCAATGTGCTGTTTGTTTGTTTGCTTGCTTGCTTGTTTGGTGGCTTGTTTGTTTGTTTGTTTGTTTGTTTGTTTGTTTGTTTGTTTTTGTGTGTGTGTGTGTGTCTCTCTCTCTCTCTCTCTCTCTCTCTCTCTCTCTCTCTCTCTCTCTCTCTCTCTCTCTCTCTCTCTCTAGCTCAAACGAAAAGTTGCACGAGCCGAGTTCAAATTGTTTGTGAAGGAGCAGCTCGCCAAAAGGATGCAGGAGCTGTGGTTGCCAAAACGCTGGGCTGAAGCAGAGTCATCTGCATCTCTGTTCTGCCCTCGGCTTCTGGGAGGAGCTGGACGCAGAGGTCACCCAGCTTGACCAGGAGGACCCGTGAGCCCG